AAATGATATCAACAAGGAAAAGTTCCTATTGAAATTCCCTGCACAGTGTTGCATTTGGTTTTGATAAAATGACATCTGAAGCCAGGAAATCCTTAGGAAAGACACTGGTAAAGCACTAACAACTTTCCTTCTTGAAAGTGTACAGCTAAACATGATCATAGACATCTATTTTAGTTAATTTTTTTAATTAACAAGAATTAAGCATGTATAATATAATTTATGCAACAAACATAATAATATTCAAACAAGATTTATTCCTTCCATCTTCACTTGATTAAAAAGGATAAACCTGTGTAGTGTCAAGCTCTCCTATTTATGTTCAAGAGAGAAATAGTCTGTTAGACTAGAAATAGATCTATTATGGGAAATGAAGCCCAGAGATAAGGCTCTGTCCCGTACATAAAGTAACCTTGTAATGAGCTCTCACTGCTGAAAAAAATATTTATAAATTCTATAAAATATTCATTCAGATTTTTTGGTGCTTTTCCTCAGGATTTCAATCTGTCTGTTAATCAGAATTTGTCGGAATTGCATTGGAGAAAACAAACATCCAGTGCTGTCAGGGCTGGGGTAATGAGCTAAGATAAACATGTGTTGTGAGGTGCGAAAGAGAGGACTTTTTTCCCTTTCAAACACAAACATCACTGGAAACCCTGGGTGCCATATGCCAACATCTGGGTATATAAGTGATATATCCAAACATGTATACATGTGTGGTTTTGAAATTTTAATTAATCTGCTTCAGAGAAAGCTCTCACTTGGAAGATTCAGAGAACAAAAGCCAAAACTGTTGTGCAGATTTTAATTTGACTGTTCAATTTCATGTGATGTCCACATATCTCTCTGCTTTACTTACCTGCACTTTTTGGTTATTTTACACAGTGAGAAAGGTACGTACAAATAGCTCTCTCAGTCTTGGTTAGCCTGATGCTACCGAAGTGGAATTAAAAATTAGCTCTGCTATAAACTTTTCAGAGGAAACTTACCTATACCAGCTACTCCAGTTTTGACATATTTTGGAGAAAACTCATTATCTTTTGTATAGGAATATACTATACCAGAGTGCAAGCATAAGACAGCGTGTATTTTTTTAAAGAACATTAGAAAGCTATTATTGAATACAAAGAGGTCAGCAGTGGAGTTACAGAAGTAAATAATTAATAAGGAGTTTACTAGGTAGTTAAAAGTCTGTCCTTGAAAGAGAACAGGAAGAAAAGTTGGATGAGAAAAAGGCACAGCTTTATAATTAACACCTATTTCTTTATTAATAATCAAGTGACTGCACAGGAGACATATACTTCTCTGACTACATAGTGTAGTCTTGATTCAAGGATTAATACCCTTGTCTTCTCCAGGATAACAGCCCCCTTATTTTACTTTGCTCAGTTCCTTTTCTTCAGTCCTGCCATTTTGCTTCTCTAACATACAATTTCTATCAAAACACATCTGACACTCACTTGGACTGATTTACAGCAGTATAATTTTTACCACTTCTGAATGTTGACCTTACAGTTGACAATATAACAACCATTATTTTTGTTGCCATCAAAGACTGAAATAGTAATGTCCAGCAAAGAGCATGAGCCTCTGCAGAGGAAAGGATAATTCCCTGGGCTAGGTCTACATCAGGTCAGTTCTGTTTGTGGAAGAGTCACACGCCCCACAGTGATGGTTAGATTGCATATTGGGCTAAGAAATGTCATTGTGCTACGAAAAACCTCAAGGACTACTTGAGGGTACTATTTATTTAAGGGGGAGTTCCCTGTTCTCACTGACATCACAGCAGCACCAGTAACATTAGCAGTGTTGAATCCCTTCAGTAGACTGATGTGGAGCTGCTGCTGGTATTTAACAACATGCCAAATACCTACATGCAAAACATGGTTAATCACTACCGACAGCACATTTACACTTGGGTACCCCATCAAGCTAACTATAGTGAAATGTTAATGTGCTGGTGTCAGTGGGAAATGTATACATGTCCTCAAAGACTGTGTCTTTTTAGACAGTGTGTCTAAAGGCTGTGTGTGTCCTACAGTGCTGGTGCCCCCAGTCATGCAAATGGGGTGGCATGTATGAGTGAACCACCAGTATCCTTGTGCCTGGTAGGCGATATCTGAGCCTCACAGTGACATGAATGCTAGCTGTCATCAAAGCACACAGTCATAGCTGAGAGCTGGGAAATGCTTCAGGAACTCTCAGATTCAAATTAGCCATTGGAGAACCATGCCTGAAGGCAGCTAACAGGCAAAACTAGGATAAGTCTTCAGGAGAAAGCTTCTCCCCTTGACTTTAAACTTTTATTCCCCTTACTGCCAAAAGGAGTACTCCTTCAAGATCTTTAAGATTCTGGAAATTGTCAAAAGCCAAGATGAGGCTAGGAAGTAGTGCAGCACAATGGGAAACATTTGCAGAAGCAAACAGATTTCAGAACCCAAAGTCTTGACAAAGGACACATCACTGGACTGTGTAAATTTAAAAGTTCATGCACATTCCAAGGTTCTAGATAAACTGGTTAGCTGTAGCTATAAATCTTTATATAGTTATATACATATACACTCATACATACACTTTTATATTTTAACTTCCTATCCATAACCATACTCTGCAGTTTTCATGACACTGTTACCCTATCCAAAGATCAGTCTTAATTCTGAAGAGTTTCATTGTCTTGTTTCTGTTTCTCTTTCCTATAAAATTCTTCATCCTTCCAGCAGGCAGAAGTCTCAGACCCATCCATACTTTTACCCTGAATGCCAAGGCATGAGGGGAATATGATAGTCATCCACAGCTGAACATATATATTTGTCTGTATTTCCTGCAGGTTTATTAAATAAGTATCATAGAAATAGTGTGTAATATTTTTTTTTCACAGTTGTCCAATTTCATTAACTGTAAATACAAAATTGTTCATGAATTTGGCTTTGTCCTTCATAGGATTTTAACGTCCATTAGCTTGAAAACAAAATGCACTTCATATTATCCATCTTCCTTGTTGTAATTCTTATGAACACACTGGAGCTACATGAGGAATCAGTTTGTCTTCTTCTATCTTATTTGAAATACAGGTAAACATTCTATTCTATTCTATTTTTCTATTTTATTTTATTCTTTCTATTCTATTCTATTCTATTCTATTCTATTCTATTCTATTCTATTCTATTCTATTCTATTCTGAAATCTCAATGAAATACCAACTTTTTTATTCACAAATGTGGAAACAACCACAGTTTATACTATACATGAAAATCTCAATGTGATTGTGTCAGATATTTGAGATAAGACCATTTCAAGAAGATGTTGAAGGACTCTTTTTTCTCTGACCTAAATAACAGACTTAAGAGGAAAAGTATTAAGTGAATGGTACTAAAACAAGTACTTCAGAAATGCCCTGTGGAAAACAGAAGCTGTAGCCCTAATATTGAGACAATTTCAGTAATCCATTCACTTTTCCTGTTTGCTGAGGTCACTCACCATCTACTTGAACTACTTGGTTGTGTGGCTTTACAAGTCAGTTTGTTTCTCAGTTCAGGAGGAAAAAGTATCTTTTAAAGTTACCAGAGCAACCAGCTCTGAATTGCAGAACATTGTCTAGGCAATACAGATAGTCTTTATTTATATTATTTCTATTTTTATAAAACAACGTATCTTCTAAAATGTGGAGCTATTTTCTCTCATTAATTATGTGTCATTTTAAATTTATTTTAACTAGCATAAAAAAAGAAGACAAGTGAGACTGTTGGCACAAAAAAAAAAAACAGGGTCCAGAATGTCCAAACATACGCTCTGTGGAAGGGGTAGGACTGCAATTTGCATTAATTATACATGCATCTATGGCTGCTTCATCAACTAGTCTTGATCACCCCTCTCCTGGCTCACACTGTCTGAATACTGCTCTTTTCAGCCCTGTGCCTATTCCCACCCCTTCACCAATGCACCCCTACCCTTTCCTCCCCACCACAGGTGTTTCCTGGTCCCTCCATCATTTCAGGACTCATTAAAAAGTCCTGGCTCCTTGTCCATCCCTTTACTCAGCCAGCTTTGAATACTTCCCCACTTCCAACATGTTAAATCTACTCCCTAGTACTTTTCCTTCCCTCTTTCCCACAACTGAAAAACTCACTTTCACTTTCACCCTCTTCCAATTTCATTCATTCACCTGAGCTGCCCTTGCCCCACAGCATCTTTGGGTCTGAGCTGACAACTAAAATCCATCTTCCAACTAATTTTTTACTTCAATTTCTTCCTAATCTCTCTTTCTGTTCATGGTCCCAATTCCTCTTGTCCTCTGCTTCTCTTTCCCATCCCATTCTCTCTATTCTTCATGTGACAATCTACTTTTTCCTCCTCACAACCTATTTTTTTTTTCCTTCTGCTAGCCTCTGGCCTAAAAGAGATACACTTCCCTTAAGTAATATTCCCACAGAGTTTCAGTGAGAAGGGGAAACTGAAGATGTGTAGTCCATTAAAATGTGGTGGAGAGAAGAAGAGACAAAGAAAACAAACCAACAAGCATGCTGAAAAGATGTTCTGCTTGCATATATTTTTAAATCAACTTTGAATGATATTTATGTTGAAAGGGAAAATATGTCATAAAATGAAGGAAAGTTTATATCTATTATGGTTTAAGCCCAGTGGGAAACTGAGCACCACACAGCTGCTTGCTCACTCCTTCCCCCTCAGGGATGGTGAGGAAAAAAATAAAATAAAAGGCTTGGGGATCAAGAAAAGGACAAACAATGATGACTCACCACTTAAAGTGACAGGCAAAAGACGGGCTTGATTGGGGAAGAAAAAGAACACTGATATCATTTGAACACCACCAATACTTAATTTACTAATCAAACAGAGTAGGACAGTGAGAAATACAACCACATTTTAAAAACACCTTCCTCCACCCCTCTCTTCTTCCTGGGCTCAGCCTTGCTCCAAATTTCTCTCCCTCCTCCCCACCATCAGCACAGGGGGTCAGGGCATGGGAGATGTGGTGAGTTTGTCACCTGTTGCCTCTGCTGCTCCTTCCTCCTTGGTGAGAGGACTCCTCACACTCTTTCCCTGATCCAGCATCGAGTCCCTCTCACGGGAGACAGTCCTCCATGAACTTCTCTGACATGAGTCCTTCCAACAGGCTGCAGCTCTTCACAAACTGCTCCAGCGTGGGTCCCTGCCATGGTCTGGAGTCCTCCCAGAAACAGACTGCTCCAGCGTGGGCTTCCCTCAAAGTCCAGGCCTTCTTCAAGAACAGGCACCTGCTCTGGCATGGGGTCCTCCACAGGCTGCAGGTGGTCACCTGGAGAAATCTAACTGACCTAGCCATCATCTGATGTGCTATGATATATCATGGCATAGGCTTTTGCTAGAATGTGTGGAACAATTCCTACAGCAGTCAGCCCTGGTCTCCCAGAAGAGCTCACTACCCTGCCGGGGCTGAGTTTGCACCCCAGTGCTTTCTGCACTGGAAATCTATCCCCTTCTCAGCCAGGATAGTTTCCTATGAGGGAGAATCTGATCATTCTTTTACATTTAATTTGCTTATTCACATTCAGGTTTCCTTTACTTACTTGATTTTCCCTCTTCTATAACTCCTGTTTTCAGATAATTTAGATAAAATTAAACTAAATTATGCCCATAATAAGAGAGTAATTTCTTCAAGGTGATCCTTTCTGGCTCTACTTCAGATATTACAGGGATTGTACATTCACCCACTCATCCACTATCAAACAAAAGACATCATGCTTTCAAAAAAGTTAGTTATAACAAACAAAAAACTTCTATAAATTAACTTAAAACACATTAATTAAAGTACAGCAATTGGAAAATACTGGGTTATTTGCTGTACCACATTAGTTTATTCACCTTAGTGACATCTCATCATCTCAAAACGCACTAGCAGCAAGAAGGAAGGAAGAAAGTTAGATGTTTGTTATAAATATTTGGGTTTTTCTCTGTTGTAGTAGTATTTGGTAGTGAGGACAGGAAGTATAAATTGGTAGCAGTTGCAAAGCTAACTGTACTAAACAATGTAATTTAATGATATAATAATAATACCGAATGATGCCAGAATAATTTGATGATGTAGAACAGACACAAATTTAAAGGCATGATATAAATAGCATTGGAAGTACTGGACATGTATAGGGGAGTAAATAATCAAATATAAATTCCAGGTGTCTGAAAGCTTAATATGCATAAAACAGAGCAGGTAAAATAGAGTGTGAAAACTATTCAAGGATTGACTCTCATGCTGAGATTTTCCAGAGGAAGTGAAAAAAGACAGCAGGGAGAGGGAACTCTGTTCTTGGGTAGAACTGATGGATCCCCCTCCTTCATGATAGTAAAGGAAAGCCATAACTGGGCTGTGCTATGCCAGTGAACCTTCAGTCTGTGCACAAAGAATTCAAGTAGTCTAGAAAAAGATGAAATGAAATAACTGTTCTTTAATTACGTCTGTGTGGAAGCTTGACCTTGACTGGATGTCAGGTGCCCACTCCTCTGTATCACTCCCCTCCTCAGCTGGACAGGGGAGAGAAAATATAGCAAAAGGCATTGGTTGAGATAAGGGCAAGAAGAGATGACTCACTAATTACTTTAATGGACAAAACAGACTCAGCTCAAGGAAAATAACTTAATTTATTACCAATCAAATCAGAGTAGGATAATGAGAAATAAAATTAAATCTTATAAACACCTTCTCCCCACCCCTCCCTTCTTCCCAGGACCATCTTATCTCCCTATTTTCTCTACTTCATCCCTGCCAAGGAGCACAGCGGGACAGGGACTGGGGGTTGTGGCCAGTTCATCACCCCTTGTTTCTGCTGCTCCTTCCTCCTCAGGGGGAGGACTCCTCACACTCTTCCTCTGCTCCAGCGTGGGGTCCCTGCCACAGCAGACAAGCCTCCACAAACTTCTCCAGCGTGAGCCCTTCCCATGGGCTGCAGTTCTTCATGAACTGCTCTGGCAGGTGTTCCCCCCCCGCCACGGGGTGCAGCCCTTCAGGAGCAGACTGCTCCAGCGTGGGGCCCTTTCATGGGGTCACAAGTCCTGCCAGCAAACCTGCTGCAGTGTGGGCTCCTCTCTCCACAGGTCCACAGGTCCTGACAGGTGCCTGCTCCAGCGTGGGCTTCCCACAGGGTCACAGCCTCCTTTGGGCATCCCCCTGCTCCAGCGTGGGGTCCTCCACTGACTGAAGGTGGAGATCTGCTCTACCATTGTCCTCCATGGGTGCAGGGGCACAGCCTGCCTCACCATGGGCTTCACCACGGGCTGCAGGGGAACCTCCAGTGCCTGGAGCACCTCCTCCCCCTCCTTCTTCACTGACCTTGGTGTCTGCAGGTTTGTTTCTCATATATTTTCACTCCTCTCTCTGGCTGCAGTTGCTGCTGTACAGGCTTTTTTCCCCCCTTCTTAAATACATTATCCCAAAGGTGCTACCACTGTCACAGATGGGCTGGGCCTTGGCCAGCGGTGGGTCCATCTTGCAGCCGGCTGGCCTTGGCTCTGTCAGACAGGGGGGCAGCTTCTAGCAGCTTCTCATGGAAGCCACTCCTGTAGCCCCCCACTACCAAAACCTTGCCATGCAAACGCAATACAGTCTGACAAACCAATGTTAACTTTATCCTTCCATTTAATGTTAAAGATTTACTATTTTCCCAATATTTGCCATTAAGTGAATTTTTGTGTCTATCTTTAACACTCCTGATAAGGAGAATAACCATATACAAATCCACATCCATCCTTTTATATACGTATCTGACATGTACACTTTTGTCTGCTTAGGTGGAATTACCCTTTTGAAATCTGAGAGTGTCATAGAGATTAGGTTCATTTTAATATCAGAGTGAGAATATTCCTTATGTTTTAGATACTTATAGAATAATTCCCTAAAAAGAAACCCAAAGCAACTCAAGCTGTTAGTTTGTTTTGTTCTGTTTTGTTTTTTGATGGCATATTATTCAAAAAATTCAGCCTATGGAAGGCTTTTTTCTTTTTTTTTTTTTTTTTAAATGCTCCATTGTAGCTATTTGCTCCCTGCTGATTGTGATTTGCTCTTTGAATTGCATAGAATTTATGCTGATGATTGGTGACTGGCATTTTTTAAAAATTAGACTAGTACATGAAAAACAGTGAACTACTTCCAGACCTCTCTCATTGTAAAAAACTGTCTGTGCTAAGCTCCATGAAATGTTTAGTAGTCACATAAGCATTTATAAATAAAATGATGATCATCTGACCACTCAGAAAACAGTAATTATTATCACACCAGGAAATATTATGCACAGAATTTAGTATGCTCAATTAAGAGAATATTAGAACAATGCTGCTTGTGTTGTCCAAAACCGGAAAATGGAAATCAGCATTTCCAAACTTATGCTTTCCATCATCATCTTTCTTTCTTAGATGTACAGTCAATGGGTGCCCTTTAAATTTCAATGTCACATTTTGACAAGCAAATGCAGTGAAGGCATGTTTTGCAAACAAATGTTATAAAATAATGTTCTATAGTTTTGCCCAGTGTTACAAATGCTTTGCGAAAATACTATTTCAGTCAAAGATAAGGTTTTATTTTAAGGTAACACTGAAATATTTAAGCAAACAAGTAGGCTGCTGTTCTAAGAAATGCATTTTCTGGTCTGCAGAGCTGTGCAACATAATGAGTGTTACTCATTATACCTGATTTATTCATTGCAGTTAGTTATTAGTTAGTTCTATTGAATTTCTTAGCAGGATGCCGTTCTATTTTAAAGGCATATGTGTATTATAGCAACCCTTAATTTTCTGGTCTTTTACAATATAAAAGCCCTATTTGTTGTTGGTTAACAAAGTTGTAATCATGCTAAACTTTGTAATTTTATTGACTTTAACTGAATGCATTGTGAGTCACATCTTCAATGCAATGTTATCATTAGCCTTATTAATGAATAAGACCAACCTATATCTTGGAATGATTTCAAATTTTAAGAGATGTCTTTCTTATTGCATTTCTATGAACAAAGATGACTATAGCACCAGTGCAGTTTGTGGTTTTGCATGCAAAATTGCTCTGCTGAAAACTCTGTGAATAGGTGGGTATTCAGAGGCTTAAAACACTTTTTTTGGTGTTTTGAGGAATGAATTCTATATCTGAGTTTTATCAAAATTCCTTGATTTCCTATCACATTTATTTTAATAAGCTACAGCTAAAAACAACTTGAGGTGAATAACTTAAGAAAATATCGTTCTCACTTAATCTTATTTAAAATATCCTTAGGATTTCCAAGGACCAGAAAAGCAGAATAAAAATTATTTTACAGATCATATGAGATATTGTTTATTAAAGCATGGATTAATTACTTCTCTCTTGATAAATTACTTCTGACTCATGTAATTAAAGAAGAAGATCCAATCATTAACTTCAGTCAGTGTGAAAGTACACTTAAAAAGAACAAATTGTAATGCACAAAGGTTAATAGCCTTATGGTACACAGCATTTTTTTTATATTTTAAAATACCTTTTACCAGAAAATGCTTATAAAGAACTCGTATATATCTGATTTTTCATACTTGTAAATCCATAAATCACTAGAAGGACATGAAAAGGAAAAAGCAATGTTTGCACCATAGATACACAAAGACTTTAGACGGAAAAATGTATGACATTGACAGTACATACATGCAGCACACATCTGTGATGTTCCATAGATACAAGCAGGCTGGTATCTGACATTGCTAGTTACTGTACAAACATGAAGAAAAAGGCAGTCTCTGACTCAGAGAAAAGTTTGTGACATTAGAACTGCACTGTTTTCTGGTTGCATCACACTGTAAGGAGAAAAGTGCTATACTTGCCTCAGAGAAGCGCTGATGCTTGTTAGCCTGGTTAAATGCCTTGCTAAAGCAAAAATACAGGCATTTTCAGTGAAATTACTGCCTTGCAGTATGTCACGCACTGCTTAATCCTAGTGAAGTGGGTTCTACATTGAAATGGCTGGTAGGAATCAACTCTGTCCCTTTCAACCTAGACTTCAATGTTGTTACTACATTTCTCTAGGGTGCTAGTTATCATATGAATACTGTGCCATTGACTACTACCGGTATTATTACTACTCAACCCTGTAGTCCAGATGATTTTCAACACATCCAAGAGTCTGCTTGTCTAGTGCACACTTATTTAGCATCTAGCTTATACTCAAAGAATATTAGAATTTATTATATAAAATTCTAAATGTCTCCAAAGATGGAAACTCCACTTCCTCCCTAGAAAACCTGTGACAGTGTTTGACCACTCCCCTTGCAAAGACTTCTTTTCCCTTGTACCTAACAGGAATTTCTCATCACAACCTGTTTCTGTTGTCTCTCCTCCTTCATGCTGAGGAACCTTCTTTGTACCTTCCCATCAGATGGTTGAAAGCAGTAATAAGATCTCTCTAAAGTCTTCTCTTCTTAAGGCTGAACAAATCCACTTCTTTCAGTATCTCCTCTTACATCATGATCTCCAGTGTCCTGATGACCTTGATGGCCTCTGCTGAACTCGCTTCAGTATGTCTGTGCTTTGTCTTTTTTGTGCGCATTACCCCAGATGCAGTCTCACAGTCACCAAACTGAGAGGAATAATCACTCAGTAGTAACCCTAACCAGTTGGTGCCCTACTGTTGGCTGTCCCTCTCCTTCTCAAAAAACGATGATGCACACAGTGTCTGGGAACAGGTTTTGGCTGTGAAGACTTATACAATGATGTCTCAGCCATCTCCACATCATCCTTTATTAGGTCATTTTTGTAGCCTGTCTTTTTTTTCCAATTCTCATACTCTTTTTTTTTTTTTTTTTTTTTAATTATTTTATTTCATGAAGAAGGTTTTCAGCCAAATTTTCTGGGTTGCTCCTGCTCTCTCAGTAAGGTATTATTTATATATTTATTTGTTTTAAATCAGCTAGGTCTTCTGAGCACCATTCCCCCGATGGCAGCTCTCCAAGGCATTCTGTCTAGCAAAGACTTAAACAAGCCAAGGTCTGTTTTAATGAAGTTGGAATCCTATCTCTGCTGCTTATCTTCACAGCTTTCCTCCACATCCTGAACTCAGTCACACCATGGTAACTGCAGCCCAAATTGTTGTGTGTGACCACACTGCTCAAAAATTATCCCTTGTTTATGAGCAGTTGTCAAGTATGGCACTACCCCTGCCTGCCCACCTCTGGCATTTGCATCATTAAAATCGCAGCAACATCCTGGGTTGTTTGCACAAAGCTGCATTGCCCTCACAGTGGAAGCCTGCATTATTGAAACCCACCCTGAGGACTGGAGCCTGTAATTGGGAAACTTCTCCAAGTGGTTTGTGGAAAAGTTTCATCCACTTCATCCTTTACATCAGACACTGTGTATCAGACCCCCAACAGATTGTCCCCCATGTTTTCTTGCCTTCTGTTCTGGACCCTCAAGCTCTAAGCAAGGAATGGAGGAGACAAATTTGTGTCTCTTTTTTGATGTCTGATACAGATAAAGGGAGATAAATCTGAAGGACCAGTAGCAAGCCCTGATAGATGTTTATTCTGTGAGAGGTTTGATATGCTTGAGAGATGTTTTCCTATTAAATTAGGAATAGTGTATAAATTTAAAGGGGGCTTACAAGAAAGATGAGGACAGATTTTTTAGTAGTGCCTGTTGCAACAGGACAAGAAGTAATGATTTTAAACTAAAAGATTCAGACTAGATATAAAGAAGACATATTTTAAGATGAGGGTGGTGAAACACTGGAACAGGTTGTCCAGAGAGGCGGTAGATGCCTCATCCCTAGAAGCATTCAAGGCCAGGTTGGATGGGGCTCTGAGCAATTTGATCTAGTTGAAGATGTTCCTGCTCATTGCAGGGAGGGTTTGACTAGGCAACCCTTAAAGGTTCCTTCCTACCCAAACTATTCTATGATTTTA